AAGAAATGCAAATGGCCAAAAAGCACAGGAAGGGAAATGCAAATCAAACCATAATGAGATGGCACTTTACACGCACTAGGAGTAACAGAGAAACAACTTTAAGAAAAAAGAGACACAACAAGTGTTGGTGAGCACATGGAGGGAGTGAGTGGAACCCTCATCCACTTCTGGTGGGGATGTTAAATGATTTCGCTCTCTGAAAAACAGTCTGGCAGTTCCTCAACAGGAGAAAACAGTTACCACATGACCCAGTAATTCCACCTAGGTACACACCCAAGAAAATACACATCCACATAAAAACTTGAACATGAAATGTTCCTAACAGAATTTACCATAAAAGTCAAACAATAAAAACCACCCAAGGCTGGGGGTAGTGGCTTACATTTGTAATCTTAGCACTTTGGGAAGTCGAGGCAGGTAGATTACCTGAGGTCAGGAGTTCGAGACCAGACTGGTCAAAATGATGAAACCCCGTCTCTACTAAAAATACAAAAAAATTCGCCAGGTGTGGTGGCGGGTGCCTGTGATCCCAGCTACTCGGGAGGCTGAGGCAGGAGAATCGCTTGAACCCGGGAGTCAGAGGTTGCAGTGTGCCAAGATCGTGCCATTGGCTCACGACTGCCTGGGCAACAAGAGCAAAACTCCAGCTCAAAAAAAAAAAAAAAAACAAAAAACTCACCATAATGTCCATCAATGATCAGTGGATGAGTGGAAAACAAAATGAAAAATGTAGTGTATCAGCCAGGTGCAGCGGCTCACACCTATAATCCCAGCACTCTGGGATTACAGGAGTTTGAGACCAGCCTGGCCAATATGGCGAAATCCCGTTGCTACTAAAAACACAAAAATTAGTCAGGCATGGTGGCACATGCCTTTAGTCCCAAGCTACTCAGGTGGCTAAGGCATGAGAGTTGCTTGAACCTCGGAGGCGAAGTGGCAGTAAGCCAGGATGGTGCCATGCACTCCAGCCTGGGTGACAGAGTGAGACTCTCTCCCCCACCCCCCCCACAAAAAAAAAGCCAGATGCGGTGGCTCATGCCTATAATGCCCGCACTTTGGGAGGCTAAGAAGGGTGGATTATCTGACGCCATGTGTTTGAAACCAGCCTGACCAATATGGTGAAACCTCGTCTCTACTAAAAATACAAATATTAGCTGCGCGTGGTGGGCACCTGTAGTCCCAGCTATTCGGGAGGCTAAGACAGGAGAACTGCTTGAACCCAGGAGCCAGAGATTGCAGTGAGCCGAGATGGCGCCACTGCACTCCAGCCTCTAGGCAATAGAGGAAGATTCCATCTCAAAAAAAAAATAGAAAACTAAAATCAAATATGTACTAAGCATTAAATGATATACATTTTGCTGGGTATAATAATGGTACTATAGTTATATATTTTTTAATGTCTACATTAATAATTTTTAATCTAAGAATAGAGTTCCCTTTTTAAATGTTATTAGTTTATTTAAAGAAACTAGGTAATTTATCTTACAGAAGTTCCCAGGTGTCATTTTAACACATTCCTTTACCTCTCATATTTCCTGTGAATTGGTCAGTAGATCTAGAAGCTTGTATAGATCTGGATTCAATTTCTTTAGCAATATTCCATAGGTGGTGCTTTATACTTCTTACTGGATTACATTAGAAGGCACGTATCTGATCATCCCATATTTTTAGTCAGTTAAGATACATATGGAAGGATTTACATATAAAACGATATGATGTCTGAGATTTGGTCTAAAATAGTACAGCAAAATAACAAAAAAGTATAGAGAGATAAACAAGAATGGCAGCATGTTGAGGCCAGCTGAAGACTGGTGATAGGTATGTGGCAATTTAAATTTCCAAAATATTATTTTTTAAAAATCTGGCTCCTACCTAAACCTCCAAAGCCTCACCCCTTGGCCAGATGTGGTGGCTCACACCTGTAATCCCAGCACTTTGGGAGGCTGAGGCGGTGGATCACCTGAGGTCCGGAGTTCAAGACCAACCTGGCCAACATGGTGAAACCATCTCTATCAGAAATACAAAAATTAGCTGGGCATGGTGGCACACACCTGTAATCCCAGAAACTCAGAGGGATGAGGCAGAAGAATCGTTTGAACACAGGAGGCAGAGGTTTCAGTGAGCCAAGATCATGCCACTGCACTCCAGCCTGGGCAACAGAGCAAGCCTTTGTCTCAAAGGAAAAAGAAAAACAAAGTCTCATCCCTTATTACCTCCTAATATGTACCCTATGTACTGGCCATACTAAACTAGGTACTAATAGTAGTTCCTCAAAAGGGCATACAATTTCACCCTCCACCTCTGCATATTGTAGTCAGGCCACCCAGAACACCCTTCTCCCTTTCTGTCCTGGCAAACACCCACTCATCTTTCCAGACTTGGCTCAGATGTCACTTCCCTGAGAAAAACCTCTCTATCCTCCAGTCTCATACTAAGCTGGCTTCCCTACTAATCCAATGGCTAATTCTAAAGGCAATGCAATTACGTACCTGTCTACCACCCCAGTTCAGACCATGAACGCCTTTAGTGTTGCTCAAAGTCTGCATAAAAGGACTTCCCAGAGGCCTGAAGTCTACCAGGAGAAGCTCCTGGAGAAGTGTGGAATAAACACACTGGGCCACAGAAACATTTTGCCGCAACTATTCATACCTGCTAAGCAGAGAGTTACAAATAATCTCCAGAGCAGTAGGAAGGAGGAAAGCTCAGAAAGGAATAAGATCCCTGAGAATATCCAAGGAAGCTTCTTAGGCCTAGCAGAATCCTTACTATCCGCAAATGCTACCACCCACAGTGGCATGGATCAATCGGGAACCTAGGACACAGCTTCTCAAAACTGAAATGTGCATATGTATCCTTTGGAAACCTAGTTTAAGATGCAGATTCTGAATCAGCAGGACTGAGATTCTGTGTTCCAGGTACCATTGATGCTGCAAGTCTGCAGATCACACTTTAACTAGAAGGCTTGGGAGATCTGGGAAGTGAGCCCTTTCTCAGGGAACAGGCAGTATTAACTTCTGTTGTATTACTCCTCTCTTTTTAGCTTATACATCATGTCCTTAAAAAAACAAAAGCAGCCAAAAAATCAAAACTCTAATTCTTCGGCATCTGCTGGCCTCTTTCTTCCAACGTACATAATGGTTCTACTGTGACAATGATGCCATCTCATTCAATTCAATTTTCCAAGCATGGGAAAGACAGGCCCTAAACGAACACCCATAAATTATACTATAACAGAAGGTTCCCAATCTACAATGGTTGGACTTAGGCTTTTTCAACTTTACAATGGTGCCAAACCATTCTGTTTTTCACTTTCAGTACAGTATTCAATAAATTACATGAGATACTCAACATTCTGTTATAGAATAGGCTTTGTGTTAGAGAATTCTGCTTAACTGTAGGCTGACATAAGTGTCTGAGCAGCAGGTGAGGCTAAGCTGTGATGTTCGGTAGGTTAGGTGTAGGTATTTCTGATTCATTTCTTGCTAAGATATGTTTGCTTACTAGTCTGTCTTTCCATTTGATTCTCAGTTTCTTGAAGAGAGAGATTTTTTCCTTTTGTTCTGTGGCACACACTCTGGCACACGATGGGTACTCAGTAAATGACTGTTAACCTAGAGTTGATGACTGACCATATAAACCACTACATTCAGGTTCCTAGAGAAAACACTAAGAACACACCCTGAATTTGCAATCCTTTTTTCTAAGGATTTAAAATGTATAACTATGTATATATAAAAGATACTATGTATGTATAATGTATAACTATATATGTATAACTACGTATATATAAAAGATACTATGTATGTATAACTACGTATATATGATACTATGTATGTATGTACAATGTATGTATAACTATGTATATAAGATACTATGTATGTATGTATAATGTATAACTATGTATATATACTATGTATGTATAATGTATGTATAACTATGTATATATAAAAGATACTATGTATGTATAATGTATAACTATATATGTATAACTACGTATATATAAAAGATACTATGTATGTATAACTACGTATATATGATACTATGTATGTATGTATAATGTATGTATAACTATGTATATAAGATACTATGTATGTATGTATAATGTATAACTATGTATATATACTATGTATGTATAATGTATGTATAACTATGTATATAAGATACTATGTATGCATGTATAATGTAGGTATAACTATGTATATATAAAAGATACTATGTATGTATGTATAATGTATGTATAACTATGTATATGATACTATGTATGTATGTATAATGTATGTATAACTATGTATATATACGATACTATGTATGTATGTATAATGTATGTATAACTGTATATATATGATACTATGTATGTATGTATAATGTATGTATAACTGTATATAAGATACTATGTATGTATAATGTATGTATAACTATGTATATAAGATACTATGTATGTATGTATAATGTATGTATAACTGTGTATATATATAAGATACTATGTATGTATGTATGTATGTATAACTATGTATATAAGATACTATGTATGCATGTATAATGTATGTATAACTATGTATATATAAAAGATACTATGTAAGTATGTATAATGTATGTATAACTATGTATATATATGATACTATGTATGTATAATGTATGTATAACTATGTATATAAGATAATATGTATGTATGTATAATGTATGTATAACTGTGTATATATATAAGATACTATGTATGTATGTATGTATAATGTATAACTATGTATATATATGATACTATGTATGTATATATAATGTATGTATAACTATGTATATATAGATACTATGTATAATGTATGTATAACTATGTATATATATAAGATACTATGTACGTATGTATGTGTAACTATGTGAGTGTTCACAAAAGTTCAGTAATACACACTGAAAGGGTCACCAGCTCCCCTCGACAAGAAAATGGCATGTATTATACTTCTTCCCAGACAACCTTATCAACACAGAAAACAACAGTTAACAAACAATACCTCAGTCTTCCCACATTCCTCAGGCGGATCCTGGTGTATGGCCACTTGATACTTGACATACAAAGAAAAGGACTGGCTGAAGGATGACTTGAACTCTGGGTCCTCAGAGGAGACAGGTACTAACCTCACCTTCAGAGCAAGGAAGATACAAGCAAATGCTATTGAAACATCTCTAACTGATGATATGCTTCTGAGGGTGAGGCTAGAGTAAGATCTCCGCAAATCCACACCAAAGCTCAAACTGGAATTTGTCATGAAAAGAAACCTCAGACTGCATGGACTGGTGCACAGACTGAAGTGCTACCTCTGTACTAAAACTTAGGAAAGTGTTAAACTCGTAAGAGCCAAGAGCCAACAATTTGTTGTTGTTTTTTCCTCTATCCAGCTATTGTAGTTTTCTGCATAAACTAGAGTCAATATTGTTGCTAAACGTGGTCATGATCACTACTTTTGCCACCTCCATTTATACTAAGTGTTTTAAGCTTTCTTTCCTTTCCAGATTTTTCTTGGGTCATTTAATTTATAAAATTATTAGCATACGAGTTCTTCTTTTAAAACATTCTACTAACTTCCTTTTCTAGTCACACTCAATTATGCAAGGGTAGCAGATTAACAAAGAATAATTTAATTGTGATGAATTCTTCCTATATTTGTCTTTCAAATACAAATAAAGCATTATAATCATGTTAAGCAAAGTATATATCTACCATAAAAATATCAAGTTTCCTGCCTTTTCCACACAGATATTTTAATTTAGAGCTCTACTATCTTTTAGATAAATGCCTCTAAAACAATGACTTTAAATAATTTTACATATTACTTTCCACTCTGAAATTATACATGACTGGCACTTCACATGGCACTTGGTCAAATTTGCACTTTCAGAATGTCCATTAATTCAGTCTTACGTCTTTGCAGATACGTTGCAAATTGAACACAAATAAAATGTAGCACAAACAAACCAAGATTTCATTAAATGATATTAAGTGAAAGGGAAAGCTTTGTTTGCATAGGAAAATTACACTTGGTCTGCTGACCTGGCTCTCAGTTGGCGTATCAGGTGAGTTCTTGTGAATAACCATCTGGTAACGTTTATAGACCTGGTAAGACTCCAGAAGTGTGGCTTTGAACTGCGAACTTGGTGGAGATGATCTCACCACCCTCACCTTCAGAAGCAGTTAAAAAAACAATGTTCACTAATTCATTCGTTTACTCATTTTGTGGAATATGCATTAACAGTAACTCCCATCCAAGAAACCAAGTTTCAACAATTATTAAGGCACCTAAATATAATAGTTTAATACTAAAAACCAGTTAGTAACTGGTTTTTAGAAAGAAGTTATTTTTGTAGTGTACACACTCATTAAGACAGAGGAGGATCCCCTCGAAATTCTCAGCCTCAGCTTTCGTGACTGAATTATGTAAGCCTGCCTCTATTGTAAACTGTCAGAGTATTTCCAGCACTCACACACACACATGACACACACAAACACTCTCTAGGTCTACACAACTCACCATCAGTAACTCTCAGAAAGACTAAAAATATGAATACAGTTTTTGGACACTCACTCAACATTGCTAACTCTAAACTTAAACTCTACTGTTTAAGTATAAAAGACCTCATAAAGTATTCCTACTTCATAGCATAGTTAACAAGTATGACTGTGAAATCACATTTCCTTTGTTCAAATCTTATAGTCAAATAACCTCTGTGCCTTGGTTTCCTCAAATGTAAAATAAAGATAAGTTTAAAATAGTAACTGCATGCAGTAATGGCTAACATTTATTTTAACATTATTTGCTAACCACTTAAAGTGTATTAGCAAAACAGAACAGACAACAGTCAAATGCAATGCAATGAAAACTGGAAACTTGACCTGTGCATGCGAAGTAATTCTGTGAAGGAAGAGTGACACCTAGTGGTGAAAGATTTCCATACATCCCGAGTATCATTACATTCAAAAAGTAAAAGTAACCACTGGAGAACTGTTAGGTGTGCTTGGCCCCCAGAATACATTACTATTTATGATCAAAAGATAAAAGACACTTCACAAAATTTTTTTTAATTTTTCTTCTTTCTGTTGATTTGCATGTAAAATATTTTAAGCAGTGTATTCAACTCTCTTTAGAGTTTTGGAAGGACAAAAAATCAGTATCCAAATCAACGTAGCCAAGGAGTTACGAAAGCTAAAATCTGTGTGTAATAATACATAGATTGAATGTGTATGCTTAGAATGCATGAAAGTTAATTTTTATTATCATGACTTTAGTGATATGTGATATTCTTAGCTGATACTAATCCATAAAATTCAAAGGCTGACCAGATACTAATCATGTATGAGAATAAGACAAAAATCATTATGGCTAATATTCTTTATTTATTTTATTTTTTTGAGACAGAGTTTTGCTCTGTCACCAGGCTGGAGTGCAGTGGCATGATCTCAGCTCACTGCAACCTCCATCTCCTAGGTTCAAGTGATTCTCATGTCTCGGCCTCCCAAATAGTTGGGATTACAGGTGTGTGCCACCATGCCTGGCTAATTTTGGTATTTTTAGTAGAGATGGGGTTTCACTGTGATGGCCAGGCTGATCTCAAATTCTGGACCTCAAGAGATCCGCCCACCTCAGCCTCCCAAAGTGCTAGGATTACAGGTGTGAGCCACCGCGCCCAGACCTTGTTTTTGAATTGTATATATGAGAAACTAATATTGAGAAATCTTGATTTGATCTAGAAATGTAAATAAATTTGGAAAAAAGGAGGAATTTGATTCTAAAAGTATTCATATTATGCCCAAATTGGTTTGGGCATTAATGAGGGAGATTTCAGCAGTACAATTTAGCCCTATTTAGAGAACTCCTAACTGCTGGCTTATGTATGCGACAACATTTGCTATCTTTATCAAGCTCAGAATATTGTAATGGATAAAACAGTGTTTGCCTTGTGTCATCTACTCTCTTTCACTAAACCAAAACTGCTAAAAATACAATTTTAAGGAGTATTTCTTTCACTTTACTAAATTTCAGTCAAAGTAACATGCTAAAATTGAGTTTTCACAAGTTAAGTAGTCAACTATCTGAAGTATTCTCAAAGGCTTTTTAAAATAAGGGAGTCTCTCTCAAATAGCAGTTAACTTAGTACACACAAATGTTACTTCATCCCAATTCTCTTTAATTTCTCATTATTTAACTAGAAAAACATCAACTGGTTAGAACTTCAAATAAAAATAAACAAGATGCCCCAACAAAAAAATAGTAAAACAAACAACAAAAGTCCTCCAAAGTACCTCTAACTTGTGTGATGCATCCTCTGGTAAAGATTCAAAAATTAAATCTTCGAGTGATTTGGGCTGGTTGGATTTAGCCTTTGCTGGAAACAAAGATGGTGGCTGACCTTGAGCCTGGAAACCCTCATGTTCTCCAGCTGGGTTCTGCTGCATGAGTTTTAACCTTTTCCTTTCTTTCCGGATTTCCTTTGCTTTTCGACATGGAGGCTTACTCAAATCAGCCCCTTTGCCTAAAAAGAATTTTAAAATGTTAGACCAATCACACTTGGCTCTGGAAGTTTTTTCACATATCTCAAAGATTCTACAGAGTAAGTCCAAAGCATTCCAATGGTTAGGCTAGCTTTGGGGTAGATGTTTCTGAGGATCCGGATACAGAGCTGTAAGTTGACCTGAAATTCTACCTTAGAAGCGGGAGTTGCCAAAGAAAAGTAAATATAGCACAGAAACTTTCCAAGGAGGCTCTTACTGCTGAAAACATTTTCTTTAAAAAAACACATCCATCCACTTCTCTGCGTCTGTGAGGAAGAACAGAATCAAATCAAAATATCTCCAGCTTTAAAAGGACACTGCTATCTCTGCCCAACCTTTCTGAGGGCCATTTCTCTGAAAGCACTGCTAACATAGATAAACACTTAGGAACCAGGTGTAAAGGAATACTGATCCCAGCACAAACTCTGGCAGGTATTTTTAAATGAAAAGAATTCTTGCACACCTGTAATTCTAGCACTTGGGAAGCTAAGCAGTTAGATCACCTGAGGTTGGGAGTTTGAGACCAGCCTGGCCAACATGATGAACCCTGTTTCTTTTTTCTTTTTTTTTTTTTTGAGACAGAGTCTCGCTCTGTCAGCCAGGCTGGTGTGCAGTGGCACGATCTCAGCTCACTGCAACCTCCGTCTGCTGGTTTCAAGCAATTCCACTGCCTCAGCCTCCCGAGTAGCTGGGACTATAGGCGCGCACCACCGTACCCAGCTAATTTTTTGTATTTTTAGTAGTCACGGGGTTTCACCATGTTGGCCAGGCTGGTCTCAAATTCCTAACCTCATGATCCACATACCCCAGCCTCCCAAAGTGCTGGGATTACAGGCATGAGCCACCGTGCCCGCCCATGAAACCCTGTTTCTACTAAAAATACAAAAATTAGCCAGGTGTGGTAGCGCACACCTGTAATCCCAGCTACTCAGGAGGCTGAGGCATGAGAATCTTGAACCCAGGAGGCAGAGGTTGTAGTGAGCTGAGATGGCACCACTGCACTCCAGCCTGGGTAACAGAGTGAGACTCTGTCTCAAAAAAATAAATAAATAAAAAAGAATCGTTGCTTAATTGAAGGTATCTGTGTCCTTTTCCAAATACTGCATATATTTAGGTCTCATTAGTTCAGTTATAGTTAATCAGAGTTTTATTTTAATTAAAGACCAAATATCAAACTGACAACCCTTTAAAATTTAAATTTTGACAATTATAAACTAAGTATTTCTAAGTAAAAATACTTAGAAAAAAGCCTGGAAGGCCGGGCGCGGTGGCTCAAGCCTGTAATCCCAGCACTTTGGGAGGCCGAGGGGGGTGGATCACGAGGTCGAGAGATCGAGACCATCCTGGTCAACATGGGGGAAACCCCGTCTCTACTCAAAATACAAAAAATTAGCTGGGCATGGTGGCGCGTGCCTGTAATCCCAGCTACTCAGGAGGCTGAGGCAGGAGAATTGCCTGAACCCAGGAGGCGGAGGTTGCGGTGAGCCGAGATCGCGCCATTGCACTCCAGCCTGGGTAACAAGAGCGAAACTCCGTCTCAAAAAAAAAAAGAAAAAAGAAAAAAGCCTGGAAAGAAGATACCATGGTAACCAGTCATTTTACTTCATTTCAGAAACAGAGAAAGGATTTTTCTTTGCAGTGTTCTCTTTTCTCCAAATTTCAAACAATGAACATTACACTAGTAATTTCTAGAAGGTATTAACTAAAGCAATAAGCTATTTAAGATCCCAAAACATGGTATTCACAAACCATATAAAAGTCAGCGAAAAGGTTTATAAAACTAGCAAATTCAGTTTTTAGAGAGAAGAAAATCAAAACCTAGAGTGGTGAAAGGACTTGCCTGAGACCATAAACTGATCAAATGAAAACCAATCTGATGAGACAACAGTGAGTTCACAAATAGTTCAGACTAGGTCACTAGCTTGTTTTCTAACTAAAAATAAAGTTCACTTTAAAAAAGAAGACTCTGAATAAGCTTACATAAATCTGAACCAGGTAACAAAAGACCATTTCTGTAACTGACTGTTTACTGCCTAACAGAATTACTTTTCTTGGACCACAGACTGTCTTTTCTCAAATTTGCTCTGAGCACACACGCTCCAACACAAGCTGCCTGAGGTCATGGACCAGGCTGTCACTTGGCTAGATGACCTTGGGCACGTGTCTCTGTCTGTACAGAGACAAAAACCAGCCTTGCCTATAGAGTCCCTGTGAGGGTTAAATGAGTTAATGCCTGTGCAGCTCATAAAAACTACCTACCACTCAGCCAGGTGCAGTGGCTCACACCTGCAATCCCAGCACTTTGGGAGGCCAAGGTGGGCAGACCACCTGATGTCAGGAGTTCAAGACCAGCATGACCAACGTGGAGAAACCCCATCTCTACTAACAATACAAAATTAGCTGGGCGTGGTGTAGCATGCCTGTAATCCCAGCTTCTTGAGAGGCTGGGGCAGGAGAATCGCTTGAACCCAGGAAGCAGAGGTTGTGGTGAGCCAAGATCATGCCATTGCAATCCACCCTGGGCAACAGGAGTAAAACTCCATCTCAAAAACAAAAAATTAACTACCATTCAATTAGGGTTAGCTATTACTAGCTATTATTTGCATTACTAACATCTGAAATAATGTTTTACCTATATAAGCATTCCAAAAATGGTAATTTTCAAAACCTTCCATTTTCTATACTGAAAATTACATTCCCTACAAGTTATAAAATTATAAACAAATGTAAAACCAACGTGAACTAAGAAACACAAATTTTCAGTATTTTTATGAAAGACTGTCTTTCTGTGTCATCTTCACACTAATTAAGTCACTGGGCTAGGTAAGCCTTCTCATGATTGTTTTTCTCTACATTTATATACTATATTACTACAATGGAAAGTAGAATTTTAGGCAGGGCTCAGTAGCTCACACCTGTAATCCCAGCACTTTGGAAGGCAGAGACAGGCAGATCACCTGAGGTCAGGAGTTTGAGACCAGCCTGGCCAACATGGTGAAACTCTGTCTCTACTAAAAATACAAAAAATTATCCAGGAGTGTTGGTGCACACCTGTAGTGCCAGCTACTAGGGAAGCTGAGGCAGGAGAATCGCTTGAACCCAGGAGGTAGAATCTGCAGTGAGCTGAGATCACACCACTGCACTCCAGCCTGGGTAACAGAGAAAGACTCCATCTCAAAAACAGGAAAAAAACAAAGTAGGATTTTGCCATATTAGGGGATATCATATTTTATGAACCTCCCAGGTCAATAAATTCCTTTGACAAAATGGAAATAGATCATCAGTGTAAACTCAGCACACTATTCCAACCCTGCACTCACAGAGGTTCAAAGCAATTCAAGAATTCCAGATTAGTCCCAAGTGATTTGAATAGAGTTTAGCCCTGCATAATCTCTAATTAAGTCCAAGGGAATAGATTTGTAACATTTTTTAGATTAAGATGAAAATGCAGGCTAGCCATGGTGGCTCAGGTCTATAATCCCAGCACTTTGGGAGGCCAAGATGAGAAGACTGCTCAAGCCCAGGAGTGCCCGACCAGCCTGGGAAACAGAGCAAGACCTCATCTCTACAAACAACTTTTTAGGCCGGGTATGGTAGCTCACACCCATAATCCCAACACCATGGGAGGCCGAGGCAGGCAGATCACCTGAGTCCGGAAGTTCAAGACCAGCCTGAGCAACATGGTGAAACCCCATCTCTACTAAAAATACAAAAAATTAGCTAGGTGTAGTGACATGCACTGATAGTCCCAACTACTCCAGAAGCTGAGGCGAGAGGATTGCTTGAGCCCAGGAGGTCAAGGCTACAGTGAGTCCTGATTGTGTCACTACACTCCAGCCTGGGAGACAGAGTAAGACCTTATCTCAAAAAAAACATTAAATAGGAAATGCAGTTTTGCTTTTGCAGATTCCTAAAAACCTGCAAAAGCAAAGAGAGACAGGAGAATTGCTTGAATCCAGGGGGCAGAGGTTGCAGTGAACCAAGATGTCACCACTGTATTCCAGCCTCAGAGTCAGCCTCCAAGTGTAGTGGTGAAATCTCTGCTCACTGAAACCTCCCCCGCTGGGTTCAAGCAATTCTCCCACCTCAGCCTCCTGAGGAGCAGGGATTACAGGCACGTACATCCACGCCTGGCTAATTTTTGTATTTTTAGTAGAGATGAGGTTTCACCACATTGGCCAGGCTGGTCTCCAACTCCTGACCTTATGATCCGCCTGTCTCAGCCTCCCAAAGTGCTAAGATTGCAGGCGTGAGTCACTGCACCTGGCCAAAATCCAGGGATTTTAAAACAGTCTCAGATTTTTAGTGAAAGATATGTTGCTTATTTTTGGAGGCGGCGTCTCACTCTGTCACCCAGGCTAGAGTGCAGTGGCACGTTCTCAGTTCACTGCAACCTTTGCCTCCTGGGTTCAAGCGATTCTCCCACCTCAGCTTCCCAAGTAGCTGGGATTACAGGCATCCACCACCACACCCAGCTAATTTTTTGTATTTTAGTAGAGACAGGGTTTCACTGTGTTGCCCAGGCTGGTCTCGAACTCCTGACCTAGTGATCCACCTGCCTCGGCCTCCCAAAGTGCTGGGATTACAGACGTGAGCCACCATGTCCAGCCAAAAGATATTTTAAGGGAAAAAAACCTTGCAAAAATAGTTTTTAATGTTTCGGTAACCATAATGCTGGAAGTAAGGTTGTCATTCTAAAACTGCTGTGTAATATGGGAAAAAGCAAAAGGTTAATATGTGATATTCTAATCAAATTCTACCATCCCCAGTGTTCCTGAGAACTAGGTTTCTCAGGGTAGAAGAAAGAAACTACAAAGGTCAAAAAGAAAAAAAAGAAAAAGATAAAACGTATGGCCGGGCGCGGTGGCTCATCCCTGCAATCCCAGCACTTTGGGAGGCTGAGGCAGGTGGATCACTTGAGGCCAGGAGCTCAAGACCAGCCTGACCAACATGGCAAAACCCCTAGCTCTACTAAAAATACAAAAATCGGCCAGGTGCAGTGGCTCACGCCTGTAATCCCAGCACTTTGGGAGGCCGAAGCAGGTGGATCACGAGGTCAAGAGATCGAGACCATCCTGGTCAACATGGTGAAAACCCGTCTCTACTAAAAATACAAAAAATTAGCTGGGCATGGTGGTGCATGCCTGTAGTCCCAGCTACTCAGGAGGCTGAGGCAGGGGAATTGCCTGAACCCAGGAGGTGGAGGTTACAGTGAAACGAGATCGCACCATTGCATTCCAGCCTGGGTAACAAGAGCGAAACTCCACCTCAAAAATAAATAAATAAATAAATAAATAATAAAATAAAATACAAAAATTAGCCAGGTGTGGTGGTGCCCACCTGTAGTCTCAGCTACTCAGGCGGTGGAGGTGGGACAATCACTTAAACCGGGGAGGCAGAGGTTACAGTGAGCTGAGATGGTGCCTCATTCTAATGAATGAATTTAAGCATGGAATATCCATGACTATTAGTACTAAAAAGAGAGGCGCCCAGACATTACATGTCCCCTGAAAGGCCACTCTAAACCCATGAAGTAATTGGGGTTAGTAACCCATCCTCAAATAATTGAAACTCAAATCTGATTAAGACTTGCCACCCTGCCCCACCACAAAAAAAGAAAGCAAGAAAAGAAAATTTAGCCTAGAATCTGATCAAGGCTCTATATCCAACTATCAAATTACAAGCAGGCAGAGGAACATGTTAAACTGCAAACGTAACCAGTCCACAGAGAAAGTGGAACAAACAACCCAATAGAGGAATAATGGAAGGGGAACCTCTAGAACAAAAGAGGGTTTTCTGTTTGTTTGACTTTGAGACAGGGTCTCATTCTTATCACCCAGGCTGGAGTGCACTGGCTCGATGTCAACTCACTGCAGCCTCGACTTCCCAAGCCCAGGTGATCCTCCCACCTCAGCTTCCCAAGTAGCCAGGACTACAGGTGTGAGCCACAATGCCTGGCTAATATTTTGTATTTCTAGTAGAGACGGATTTCACTATATTGTCCAGGCTGGTCTCAAACTCCTGGGCTCAAGCAATCCACCTGCCTCAGTCTCCTAAAGTGCTGAGATTACAAGTGTAAGCCACCAAGCCTGGCCAAAAGAGATTTTTTAAATGTATCAACAATCGCAATATGTGGACACTGTCTGGATCCTGACACAAACAAATGTTTAAAAAATGGAATCTGAACCCTAAAGATTCAATGGCATTAAGAAATTTTATTCAAATATAATAATGGTATTGTGAATATGTTTTTTTAAAGTTCTAATCTTTTAGAGATGTATTCTGAAATACAGAATAGCACAATGTCTGGGATTTGCTTCAATATAATTTTGGTAGGGGGAACTGGATGAAACAAGAGTGGCTATCATGAGTCGGTATCGCTTCAAACGCAGGTAGAGTACATGGAAGTCCATTATACTATTCAATCTATGTTCACCTATGTTTGAATAGCAAAGATTTTTTAAAAATTGACAAACCATAAGTAATTTTATTTAAAAAAGAATAAATAAAAGAATTGACCCTACCTCCAAGAGAGAAATCGTTGAAAGAAACTGTCTAAATCATTCAAAATATTTCACTAGGGGCTGGGCACAGTGGCTCACACCTATAATCTCAACATTTTGAGAGGCCAAGGCCGGAGGATAACTTGAGGTGAGGAGTTGGAGACCAGCCTGGGTAATATAGTGAGACCCCATCTCTACAAAAAATTGTAAAATAGCTGGGCGTGGTGACAAGTTCCTGTAGTTCCACCTACTCAGGAACCGAAGGCAAGAAGAAAACTGGCCCCAGAAGCTCAAGGCTGTAGTGAGCTATGATCATCCCACTTCACCTCAGCCTGGGCAACAGAGCAAGACCCTGCCTCAAATTAAAAAATAAATATTTTATTGAACTATCACTATTAATTAGGATGAAATCTCAGACCAAAATCAATTTAAATACCATGAAAACTTCATGTAAAAAACTATTCAATAAAATTGCAAATGGAGAATTTTCTCTACTTTAACACTTGTAACATAGTTGAGACAAGAAAAACTAAAACAGTACTAAAAGTCTTTCCCTTGGATCATTTTCCATAAACATAAGAACTAATTCAAAACCTGATGCCATCTAACGAACTAATAATCGTCTAACTTCACATTTTATGAAATAATTTTTAAAGAGTCATACATACACATATTAAACCCATTCAATACTGGATAAACTTTTTAAGTCTTATTCTTGTATAAGTAATAACATAGAAAGAAAAATCTTACCTGACAAAAGGTAAAGTTAAACACCAAAATCTGGACATTTTAAAACTAAAATATACAATTGCATTTAAAAATTTAATGATAAACTGAAGAATTTTATAATGTATATTGGACATAATGCCTGTAATTCACATTGTCTCACTTAATGCTAAAGTAAGAATGTTTATCACAACATTTCACTGAGAAAAATTTGATTCTCGACCCTGTAAGGCTCTAAAGTAGTAAGAAGAAAAGGAACTCTTTTAAAATGTCTGTATTTAGAGATAAGGCTATTATTTCAGGCTTTTCAAGCACAGTAGTTTGTAAAAGGCATGATTTGTCTATCTAATTCTAGCCAGTAATAAATAAAGCAGGGTTCGGTTTTACAGATTGCTTGAATAAGTCATCCTTTTGCCTGATGAAAAGACCCAGGGTTTAAAATGACTCAGCAAAAAGAAAAGCAGTGAATAGGACTTGATATAAAAAATCTTTACTACCTGGCTTAGGAACCGTGTGAACTTTAACTGAATGTGATGGTTCACCAGAGTCCAACTTCTCTCCTACGAAATCTTGTGACTGAAGTAATTCATGAGGTTCTTCTTTCTTGGAGTTTTTTCCTTCACTCTCTAAACTCTCTTTCAGGTCATCACTGAGCGTTTTAAGATCACACTGTATATCCAATTTATTTATCAATGCAAAGTCACCCGTAACAGCATCATCCACTGTGGAATCCATGGGCTCATCTACAAATCAGAAGAAATTAAAAATCCATCAGCTGGGTCTTTGACACAGTTAAGATAAATACAGAAATAAAATGTCCCTATTACCCATTGTGGCAGAATTACTATCTGGCCACCAAATCCACTCTTATCCTCCAAAATAAGAGAGCTGCACTTAAGACTGTGGCACAGCTGGGCATGGTGGTTCATGCCTGGAATCCCAGCTCTTTGGGAGGCCAACACACGAAGACCGCTTAAGGCCTTGAGGCCAAGAGTTTAAGACCTGCCTGGGCAACATAGTGAGACACTATCTCTACAAAAAATTAAAAAAAAAAAAAAAAAAAATGAGGCACCCTAGCAGGGGAATGTACTACCAGACCCTTTACCAGAGGTGACCAAGTTCCTGCCAATGGAACGTAACATAACTGATATGTCCAACTGTGCTTTACTAGTTTTAAAGGAAACTTGTGACCCTGAACTTCTACCCCTTCCCCCCAATGGCTAGATTAGTAAAAAAAAAACCACAGCAACCTGGAAAATCACGTAAAGAAAGTCCCAGAATGGCTGGTGGGGAGCAGAGCTGCAGCCAAACTAGAACGCTCACACTGAACTATATGATGTGAGAAAAGAAACAGACATCTTTTTTTTAGTTATTGCATTTTGGTATCTTTGTCATAGCTGTTTATTCCTTTACCCTAATGAGTACATCGCTCCTAAGAATTAAGTTCCAGGCACAGATAATTCAGAAGCCTTTAACAAGTCAAATAAAGAACCAAAACACAAGAAAGACAAGCAACCACCAACTTCCAAATTACAAGTAGACAGCATCTTCAACACCTAGCTCCGGGTGAATTTCTTTCTTTTTTTTTTTTTTTTTTTTTTTTTTTTTTTTTTTGCAGACACCTTGCTCTATCACCTAGGCTGGAGTGCAGTGGCATGATATTGACTCACTACAGTCTTGACCTCCCTGATTCTCACGCCTCAGCCTTCTGAGTAGCTGGGACTACATGTACCACGACTGGCTAATTTTTGTATTTTTAGCAGAGACAGGGTTTTGTCATGTTGCCCAGGCTGGTCTCTAACTCCTGGGCTCAAGGGATCCTCCCAACTTGGCCTCTGAAAGTGCTGAGATTACAGCTGTGAGCCACGATGCCCAGTCCAGAATATGATTCCTGGTCACCAAAATATCTGTAAATTGACTAGCCAACAATATCTATTTAACCTTTAAGATTATGCACCACAATATTCATCAGAGCTACACCACAATTCTGATGTTTCTGATGCTCTAAGTGCCCTTGAACCTCTAAAAGACATCTGACCTCTTTGTTGACCCAGCTCTGCAAAGCTCCTCCAAGGTCCTGAATCCTGGTCCATTAAGAGCTGTGCATGAGGTTAAAGAACTTACTGCCTTGCTGGTCACTGTACCTCCAGTATTTATTTAAAACAGTGACTGAGGCATTGCAGGCATTCAAAACATATTTGTAGGGTCAGGTATGGTGGCTCACGCCTGTAAATCCCAGCAGTCACGGAGGCTAAGGCAGTAGGACTGCTTGAGCCCAGGAGTTTGAAACCAGCCTGGGCAACATAAAGAGACCTTGTCTCTATTTTTAAAAAAATAAAAAATAATTAAAAGAGAAACGTATTTGTGGAATGAATGAATGAGCTAAGGCTAAAATGAGAGGGTCCCAGGATGAGGCATTTCCTATGGCAACAGTGAAGACGAGCTCTATGAACAGCAATCCCAATTTTTATGTCAGCCACTGCCAATAAGAAAACTTAAATAAAACCAAAAATAGTGAACAAACCTAAGGGAAAAAAAGCAAATCATCCGTAACCAAAGTTAAGAATGCTTATTAGTTATCTTTTACCAAAGCCACTCAAAACTGATCAAAGAAGAGAAATGAAGACAGCATAATTTACTGAAGTAAAGCCTTATTCAAACAAAGAAAATCTGATCTTTATTCACCATTAAAAGAACAGCGCAATTTTGTACAAGTTACATGTAAGCATTTGCTTCTTGAGCAACAATGCCACTTTCTATTTACTTCATAAGGGTAGTATTAGGATCAAGAAAGATGAGTTATCAAAGCATTCTAGAAACTGACATTTGATAAACTCCAGGAAATCACTCTTTCACATGATCTTCTATGTTCTTTCCAAACTCTTCTGATACATATCCCCTATACCTTGATTTGGGGGCCAATGGTAACAGGAATAGCAGTGCTCACAGTGGCCACTGTCATCGTAGTACATGACAGTATTAATTTCCCTTTCCCTATCTAACTTAAGATGACTGAAAGTGGAACCCCTGCAATCACAGACAGTAAATAGTGTGTTTTTTAGACCCAGCCCGTCTTACCATTACAACTTCCTTTGGGAATCTCCCCTTTAGCCAGAAATTTCAACATTTTTTTCAAAACCTTCTTGTGAGATTTTGAAGGCTGAAATTGTAAAGGTCGGCACCTAGGAAAGCAAAATAAATATTTAAAAAGTGAACTCAAACCTTGAAGAAATAAAATCAACTCAGGATATTATCTAGTACAATGAGACAACCCCATGCCTGAGATTTCTGGTTAAAGATGGGGCTTCATGTAGCCTCTAATCCCAACCCACATCACACTAAGACTATAGTTAAGAGATTTTTTTTTTTTTTTTAAAAGAGAAAGACATAAAATACTAGAAAAAAGAGAAGGGGAGAAGTGTTAGAAGCTGGAAAACAGATGTACAAGTGGCCATTCTGCTTTAACAGACCAAAGAAAGTTGACTCCTAGGCCAACAGTGGGGGGGGGGGGAAGCCAATTTTCTCTACATTACCCTTAAAAGTCTTAGGGATTGGTGACACCTGATGCCTCTGGAAATATGAGTGAAAGTAGGTCTAAAAACAGAAATATCCCTTTAAAGTCTTGTTTTTGAAGCAATTAGAACAGATGTCAGATCCCCTCTCCCACCCCAGGTTCCCCACTACTCAACCCAGCAGAAAACTGCAATATTTCAGGAAACAGTAAAAAATAGAGCCTCTTACAGGATGGATGCAAGCCACAGCTGAAAGCAGCTTAAATGAAAGTGTACATAGTCCATGTTGAGATCACCAACCCAGCCCCAGAACAGCAGCAGGTTATGTAATACTTTCTCTCCGGAATGTGATCCGACCTAAAATACTAACATCAGGGATTGCCCAACAGAACAGCCAGCCAGATCACCCACAGTAAACAAGGCAAGAAATACCCACAGCCCACAATGAACAAAACTCATCAGGTACACAGAATTTCCAATGGAACACTGAAAAGTCATAATCACCAGACACTCGAGGAGAGCCTCTACTGAAAAAACAGGTACCAAACAAACTGGAAAAAGTAACTTGGCAGACACAGACCATGGCAGAAAGAAAAGAACCTTTTTAAAAAACCCTTAAAAAGATCTCGTTTCTTAAGCCACTACACACATAAAGTAACAAGGTGTTATCAAACAAACAAAACCAAAAAGAACTTCAGAAGTAAAAATACGACAGGGGAAGTTTAAAAATTAAGTAGAAGACCTGAAAACTAAAGTTGAAAAAAACTCCCAGAATTTTCTGCAAAAAAGAGATGAAAAACTGAAGAGAAAAGGTAAAGTCACAGACCAGTTTAAAAGGTCCAAAATCTAAACAAGACCATTAAAAAAAGAAGAAAATGAGGTGAGAAAATAAAAACTTTTTAAAATTTTTCCTTATAAGGGAATAAGGGATAAGATGGGACAAGTTCCCAGGAAAGAAGGACCCCTCCAGTTCAACTGTGATTGACAAAACATACAGAACCAAACAGACTATGAAATGTAAGAACAGAGGATAGAAAAGCTTCCAAAGAGAAAAAACATGTTTCAGACAAAAGTACGAGAATCAGAATACCACTGCACTTCTCAACAGTAATATGACAATAGCGGAACAAAGCTTTCAAAATTCTAGGAAAATTATTTTCATCCTACACTCCTATACCCTGCCAAACTAAAGTCTGAACAGTGAATCAATATTTGCAGACACACAAGGTCTCAAAAATGTATCTCTTACACATTTTTTCTATTAGATTTGCTTCATTAAAACAAGGGAACAGTCCAAGAAAGAAGGGTTTCCAACTCAGACACTAAAAAGATTCCCCAAGATGACAATAAAAAGAATAGTCCAGGCCAGGCACGGTGGCTCACACCTGTAATCCCTAAACTTTGGGAGCCTGAGGCAAATGAATCACTTTAGGTGAGGAGTCCGAGACCAGCTTGGCCAACATGATGAAACTAACTCTACTAAAAATATAAAAATTAGCCGGGCGTGGTGGCAGGTGCCTGTAATCCTAGCTATTCAGGAGGCTGAGCCAGGAGAATCACTTGAACCAGTGAGCAAAGGTTGCAGTGAGCTGAGATTGCACCATTGCACTCCAGCCTGGGCAGCAAGAGCAAAACTTCGTCTCAAACAAAAAAAAAAACAAAGCTGATCATGATGCTTCAGGTCTGGGGGTAATCGTTCAGATCAAACCGGTCAAAAGGCTCCACAAACAGGTCAGAAGGCTCCACAAGAGACTTTTCTCAAGTAGATAACAGTGATCATAGCGCTTGATGCATTTAAACATTCTAAGAAGAAACTTACATAACTGGGATTTATTTTCAAAATAATCTGGTCATAGCTATATAGACTATGCAAACAAAAAAGATAATTAGTAACTCTAAGGAGAGCGAACTTGTGCAGGAAAGGAAAAGTAATCATAGTAACCACCATGGCTCAGTCGTGAAGCATATTTACACAGTCACAATGATGTGAATACATCTGCCCAAAATTATATGACTTCTAAATGGAAAGCTTGGGATGGAGACAAAAAAAGAGCTTGAATGTGACAGGGAAACAGGGGCAAGAGAAAACTAAATCCTTATGTTCTATGGAGAGAAGCCTGGAAATAATGGAGAAAACTAAAGAAAAAAAAAATCAAGGGTTACAATTATATAAGCATGTTGCTTAAAGACAGGAAGATGAAAAAACAAAAGAATTAGTTCAAATGTTTTAAGATGACTACCATGGGGGAACAGAAAATGGAAAAGGAGGGTTGGGGGACTGCTTTTTCCAAAACAAGCTTTACTGAAACTTGATACTTTAAATTATTAGCATGTGTAATTCTGATAAAAATAAAAACAAAACAAAACAAAAATCATAGCCAGAGAAGTTCATCCTCATTTATACATACATACTGGGAGTCCTGACTTCTTGTTCTAACAAGAAGCTAAACTGTAGCTATAAGCCCCTTCCTTTATATAAGTTCTCACTGTAACTACTGTTGTATACAAGGTGAAAAATAACCAGAGGAGTAAACATGGAAAATGACTCCATAAGAAGATGAACAGTGAAACTACAAAGAGAAGCAATTCAGGAAACATCTGATACCACGTCAAATGCAAAAATCACGTAACTACTTTGTTTTGCAATGTTCACTGAATCCCCTTTTATGAAGGCACTATACCTAGAATACTGCTTTCCATGTGACAGGCACCAAATAGATTCTAGAATCTTTTTCTTTAACCAATCGAAATGACACTTTTCTAATCATAAAGATTAGGCCAATAAACTTCAAATTTATGAATAGAATCCTGCCCACAATCCAATAAATTGCCAATTGAAGACAAATGACTTCTGCCTTAGAAGACACCTTCTCTTCATAACCAGGAAAGCTGAAGGAGGACAGCGCAAGATACTCTGTCACTCTGTCCTTTGTGTAACGAGACAATGTCAGCACACCTCATCCTCTGCCAATCCTATGGCCAGTCAGATAAAAAAGAAGGCTCCCAGCCAGGCCTGGTGGCTCACGCCTGTAATCCCAGCACTTTGGGAGGCCAAGGCGGGCAGATCACCCAAGGTCCAGGAGTTCGAGACCAGCTTGGTCAACATGGCAAAACCCCATCTCTACTAAAAATACAAAAAAATTAGCTGGGCGTGGTGGTGCACGCCTGTAATCCCAGCTAGTCAGGAGGCTAAGGCAGGAGAATCGCTTGAACCCGGGAGGCAGAGGTTGCAGTGAGCCGAGATTGAGCCATTGCACTCCAGCCCAGGTGACAGTGCCAGACTCCATCTCAAAACAAAAAAAAAAGAAAACTGGACTCTGAATATAGGTGGCAGATTAAATGTAAGCCCTCTTCCTTCCAATTAATTTTTTTTTCAATTCTGACTTTAGATTCAGGGGTTACCAGTACAGGCTGGTTACCTGGATATATTGCATGACGCTGAGGTTTGCAATGTGAAGGAGCCTACCACCCAGGTACTGATCATCATAACCAAGTTGGTTTTTCAACCCTTAGTTCATGCCCTCCCTCCTCCTCTAACAGTTCCCAGACTCTACTTTTGCCATCTTTATGTCCTTGAGTACCCAAGGTTTAGCTCCCACTTATAAGTGAGAACATGCATCTGCTAAGTAATTTATAGGAGCTTGCAGTATTGAACGACAAGCACTGTGTCCAGCAATATACCAGAATGTAGAATATCTTAAGCTAAGTCCTATAAAATTTAGCATCCAAAAGTAATGCGAGTATTTACCATTTTCCCAATATTTCATGGCATTCATTGACAAGACTGCTAAATTAAGAGGGTATTTTTTCACATCATATTTATATCTGAGCCAATCAAACAGTATTACTAAAAGCTACTGATGAACACATAAATATAGCATCAGTACGTAGAAAAGACATAACTCATTTGCTTTTCCTTTTAAAGGACATCTACCTAGAGTGGAAACAAAAACTTAAAAAGCACAAGAGACTACTAAAAAATTACACAATCTTCATATTGTAGATCCTCTCCTAATTAAATTCTTACCTTATTGTGTACTGAGGACAACATGTTTGATTCATGACAGGTTTGTACACATATTTTCCACTTCTAAAATTATAAAAATAGTTTGTTAATGTCTTATATATTTTTCACTTGTACCAAAATAGACTAGCAAAGAAGCATAAAACTAAGGGTAAAAAATCTAACCAATATTGTAGAAATGCATGTAGGTTTAATTACTCTTCATAAGCTAAATAATCTTCAAAGTGGGTGTACCAAAGTTTAGAACCCAGCCTTTTATTTCCTAAAGCTTTACTTGTGTACCCCAAGGCCAATCATCTCAGTTATCCTCTCACCAGCGTCTGCTACCCATCCTTAATACCACAAAGGCAATGAGAGAAATGCCCACAATCCTGTGGGGCTCACGTATGTGCTGTCTATTACAACCACATTTGGGTATTCCACATGTGCCAGAACAAAGTACCCCAAAACTAACCTGGTTCTTTCCACGCCTTCCAAATCTATGGTAGTAACTGAACCGCTCATTCGGTTATCAAGTCAGAAACCTGCGAGTCATTTTAGACTCCTCCCTGGAATTCACCTCTATATCCTGTTAGCAAACTTTCCCACTTTAAACCCTGTCTAAAATTGTCCCCTCCTATTGTCATTCCCACTAACATGCCAGTCCTCGTCATCGCACATCTTGATAATGAAATAACCTCTGAACTCATCTTCCTGCCTCTATGACCACCCCTCAAATACCTCTCAGCCATCTGAACAATGTTTTCTAAACCAAACTCCATCACATTTCTCTCTTACCATAAAATCCTTCCATGACTGCTTTCTACCTTTTAAAAGTTCTGGCCAGGCGTGGTGGTTCACACCTACAATCCCAACACTTTGAGAAGCTAAGCTGGAGGACCACTTGCAACCAGGAATTCAAGACCAGCATGGGCAACACAGGGAGATCTTTAAAAAATTTAAAAATTAGCCAGATGTTGTGATGCACACCTGTAGTCCTAGCCACTGGAGAGGCTAAGGCAAGAGAATCACTTGTGTGGCAATTTGGGGTTACAGTGAACTATGATAATGCCACTATACTCCACCCTGGGCAACAGAGCAAGTCCATATCTCTAAAAAAAAAAAAAAAAAAAATTCCATATCATGGCATACAAAGTCCTTTAAAATCTGACCTATGTCTACGTTCTGAATCTCATTAGAAAGTTGTGATGTTTCAGCTGGTGCTCCCAATCTGTCTTTTGGTGAGTATTAGTATTAGTATTTAATATTACTTATATTTACACAAGGAACTCTTAAGAGTTACTTAAAATCATCTACATAAAAATAACTACTCAAAACAGGCCAAGTGTGGACCTTAATGAAATCCTTATTTAAATAAACCAACTGTTAAAGAAGACATTTTTGAGACAATCTGGAAAATCTAATAAAAAGTAGGTAACAGGTAACATTGAAGAATTTTTATTAATTTTGTAAGGTGTGATAACATCAGTATGGGTAAGTTAAAAAGAAAAAAGACCCCTCTTAGAGATACATATTTACTGCCGATCTATTGATAGGACAAATGTAATAATAAATACTGATGTAATTTGCTGTTAAATATTGAAAGGAGGAGCAAGTGCCGGGCATAGTGGCTCATGCCTGTAATCCCAGCACTTTGGGAGGCTGAGGTGAGCGGATCACTTGAGGTCAGGAGTTCGAGACCAGCCTGGCCAACTTGGTGAAACCCCATCTTTTTTAAAAAAAAAAAAAGAGAGGAGCAGGAGAATCAAATGATTGGCAGAACGTTAACAACTGTTGAAACTTAGTGATAGGTACCTGAGGTTCATTCTAATGTACCCTTTGCTTTTATGGATATTTGACATTTTCCTAATGAAGTTTTTTAAGAGAGAGAGAAAAAAATCACTACACAAAAGAATATAATAAAAATTTTCTTAAACCTCTTTCCAACAACATGAAAGCGTTTTAAAGGCATGCTGTATTTTTCAAGAACCTGAGTCATAGCAGGAAGACTCTAGCAGGAAGCTTTACCTTCGCCATCCTCGGTCTATGAGATCCTGATAATCCTGTACTGTCATGGAATGTGCCCACATGCCTGAAAAAATAAGTAGTGTGTTAATGAGGGCAGGGTGACCTTTTTTCTTTTTTAAATTCAAAGTGTGATTTTTAAAAACAGGAGTATTTAGGTTAAAATTCCAAAACGCTCACACTGGAGAAAGGAAAAGTTTGTACATACTTCACACCTGTTAGTCTGATACACATACAGCACAAATAAAAAATGACAGTATATTTATTTTAATTTGAAAAAACACATCAAAGTAATTATATTTATTTGACGATTAGTCAGTAGTCTCTATGACATCATAAATTTAGGTCCTCACTGCAATCAGAATGCATGAGACCTTCAAACTTTAGTAATATCCCCAATGATTACATGCTGGTCTCTTCAGAAAACTTGGCAAAATCTTCTGTGCTTATCAGTTCTCCTGATTTATATACGGTATATATTTACAGTGCAGTCTTGAGCATTAAAAATTGGAGAAAAGTATGTAACGATATTTCTTCTAAGTGTAAGAATTAAAAGGAATTCAAATGCCAGGAACAACAAGATGATTACAGGGGCTATGATGATATCGACATGATGGAATAATTACGCAACTACGGAAAAAAACGAAGACTATGAGGAAACATTTAAAGGCATATCAGAACTAAAGTTAAGGCTTGGTGCAGTGGTGGCTCAAGCCTATAATCCCAACACTTTTGAAGGCCAACATGGAAGATCACTTGAGGTCAGGAGTTCAACACAAACCTGGGCAACATAGCAAGTCTCTGTTTCCACAAAAAATAAAAAATAATAGTAATTAGTCAGGTTCTGTGGCATGTGCCTATGGTCCCAGCTACTAGGGAGGCTGAGGTGAGAAGAGGCTTGAGGCCAGGAGTTTGAAGCTGCAGTAAGCTATAAATGCCTCACTGCACTCCAGCCTGACCTAAGGAGCAAGACCCCGTCTCTTAAAAAAAAAAAAAAAAAATTAAAGTTAAAAAAGAAATGGATTTTTCTCTTTTGTAAACAGTAAATCTCATCAGAGATATGTAAAGATAGAGACAGGACTGACAGAGCAGACTGATACACTGGGTAGTGGGAAAGGCATGGCACTGGAGTCCAACAGAAATATCTGGACACCTGGCAGGCACTCACTGATACTAAGGAGTCACCCAATGAGCCTCAATTTCATCATCTGTAAATAAGAAAAACAAAACTCACCTACCCAACAAGTAGATGCCCCATAATAAAGAGTATTAAAATCAAAACCGAGATACTAAAATTGATGATTATTTTCTCTTGATGGAAAGGTGGCAAGCATATTTCCTCCACAAAATGTGAAATACAAGACATTTATGTTAGCCAGTTTTTTCTTGCCACAATTACTGGAAAAAAATAAGCAATGGCCTATTAAGATATTAACTTTAGGCACGTTTAATGTAACTTATTGGTTTTATAATTATTATAGCCAAAACACAAAAATTCTGAAAAAGAGAAGGAACGAACTCATATTACTCTAAGGCCATATTACCACTGTCAGTATTTGGTGCTTCTGGGCCTTCCTCCTTCCAGAACTGTAATCATGTCGCAGAAGCTCTTTGCATCCTGTTGATTTTCTCCATTTAACTCCACACTGGAAGCATTTTTCCTCTTAGTCTTCATAATCCTCACCTCTAATGATAGCATAACTGTGTACTCAAGACCGCTGCCCACAAGAAGCACTTAATAAACACTTTTAATGAAGGAGGAAATGCACACACCGTTATTGACCAACTCATTCCCCACTCACACCTTTTCATGGAAAATGCCTGTGTGTTTTCATGCAAATTTCGTCTTCTACACTGTTTCATTAAGATAATAGATTCTACACTCTATATTGGCCAGTGCATGGCAAGGCAGGAAATAAGCACAACCTTTTGTTTACCAACAACAAATCTCCCCCAAAGAAATCTGAATCACGAGGCAAAAACAAAACAAACTTGTGGGCTGGCTTTGCTGTCGTCGGGGTGGGTGGAGGGAATACATAGCATATAAGCAAATGGTAAAAATTTCAAACAGATCGGGCCAAACAGTACCCCTAGCCGGTAGCGACCTCTGTCACCAGTTTGTCTTAAAAAAAAAAAAAAATCTATTTTTTGACCCAGAAATGCAAGGGGTTCATCCTGTATCTTCCTCAAGGGACGTCTGAGTCACACATGACGGGCACCTGTATGCACACCCACAGCTCCCTTCCGCACCGCGTCTCGCCCTCGCTCCCGGGATGCTCCCACCACAGCACCCACCGGATAGCCCTGGCCATTAACTACGGCTCAGGTGCGTTCTCCGGCACTGTGTGCCCGTCCTTCACCCCACACATCTACCCCACACAGGCGTTCGTCTCCCGACTCTGGGGAGACCATCATGATCTCGCGGGTCCGGGCACTGGTGGGGATTTTCCTGCAGAGCAGGCACCGCGAAGCTGCCCCGCTGAGCCGGCGCCGCGGCCCTCCCGAGGGTGACCACTCCGTCTCGGCCGTGGTACTGGGGCCGCTCAGGGACTCCGGCCGCCTCGCGTCCCAGCTGGAGGACCGCGGGATCCCGAGACCTGGCACCCGGCTTCCCACGCCCGCCGTCCCGGCTCGCTCACCATTGGACCGGCTGCCCAACTCGTTCTTGCAGTAACCACAGCGGTAGAAGTCCTCGCTGGGGAAATACTCCACGACGCTGGGCGAACCCCCAGCACAGAAAGCCATGGCCTCGGCCCCGCGAACGCTCAGGCTTCCGGCCCAGCGTCGCCGCCACTGCCGCCGCCACCCCACAATGCAGCGCGCCGCCCAGGAGCCCCCCGAGGTTCGCACGAAGCCACTCGGGCTCCCGCAGGCCCGGTCGGCCCGGCGCCTCTTGGGGCTGACGCCGTCCGCGCCATCTTGACCGAGGGCAGCTTTCCACTGTTTCCGTTCTTTCTCCGTAAAGGGCCGCCGTCGTCAGTGAGGGTGAGGCGGAGAGACCGAGCACGATGGGGGAGAGTCGAGAGAGAGGAAGGGAAGCGGGGGTCGGGGTGCGAGCCTGCTCTTTCCCCCACCGAGGGCCTGCCCGAAGCGCGGCGGGCGCGGCAGGGGTTGGGCGCGAGGCGGTCGCGCCAGCCCTGACGTCGGGGACACTCACCGCAGGACGCTTTGCCCTCCTTGGAGTCGCAGTAGCCGCAGTGGTAGCCAGCCCTGAGGCCCTTGTATTCCACCACCGAGGCCATGGCCGCCGCGAGGGTCCTCTCCGGCCGGCCACGCCTCTCGGCCCCGGGGCCGAACTCCGCGAAGCGCGGGGGCCCGTAGAGGGAGGGGTGAAGAGCGAGGCCGGCGTGGGGGCCCGTGGAGGGAGGGGTGAAGAGCGAGGCCGGGCGCAGGGACCCGTGGGCGGGGATGGTGGTCGTGCCCCCAAGCCCCGCGTTTGGGCCAGTGCTTCCCACAGCTGTGCGTTATCAGCCCCATTTCACAGGTAAGGAAACTGAGGACCGAAGGTTGTGATTATCCCAAGGTCATTTCCAGCAGGTGTAGGATTGAAAGTTCCCCTCTCAGGCTGCCCCTTGTCACCACGTAGGTGACTTGCTAGCGCTTCTTCCAGATCAGCTGGCATGCACTCCAGTGCCCGTGGATACTAGAACAAAAGCAGGAATTCCGAGAATGGCAAGGGTTTGCAAATTAAAGAACAATTAGGGCTTTTAAAGGAAACAACTATCAGTTAGAGCCAGTTGCTGTCTTGTGTTCGTGTCTGTCCAGTGCCACATATAACTTTTAATAAGAGATGCTGGAAGTACAGATTTTTTTTTTTTTTAACTCTACAGGCGAAACAAAATCTGAATCCAGCACATGGGCCTCCATTTTGCAACCACTGTTTTAAGGAAGATTTCTTAGGGAATGACGGTCTAGGGCAGAATAGAAAAATGAGTACCTCCAGCAAGATAATATCCTTATCTTTCCCTCCGCGTGCACAGATAATTTAAGCCGTCTGTTCTCATAGTTTTTCTCAGTCAACCATAAAGCTGATTATGCAGTATTTTTTTTAAAGTGGTGTGTTTACAAAAGTGAAATCATGAAACTCGGAGAAATAGAAACTTTTGAAACGAGTTTTGACATTCTTGACCCCAAGGGCCTGTGTTGGATATGTACCTAGTTGAAAGTGGTTTCTTAGTGGCCTGGTGACTTCTTAATACTCCCAAGCATCACTTGTGCTTCCCACGAGGCCCCTAAGGAATGGCCGTGTAATATCCAGCAGTTTCTTAGGGCCCTCCAGTTTCCTCCAGCCTCTTAGACTTGAAGATTGTGTGCTGTATCTCAGTATTCATCTTCTTGAGTCAAGCTTCATCCATTTTGTTCTTTGTGGCAGATTTGACTATTCCCAGTCCTTTCCCAGACTGGCTCTCATTTGGAACAAAAGCAAGGCCTGTGGAATGCATCGGAAAAAGCAGAATATGCTCTGGACGGAAGGTTGACCAGGAGGCTTTTTGGTCTTACTATTCCTGTCCCACTTCACTTCTGTCCCTTTAAAGCCTCATCCTTATCATAAGTCCTACAGTAACCTCAACCAGGGCACTCCAAGACATGCCAGCCTTGAAAAATAATGAGAATGTCCAAAGTCCTAGGCATGTGTGTTGTTTTTCTTTATTATATTTTATGTTAGAGGCAGAGTCTGACTCTTGTCCAGGCTAGAGTGCGGTGGCATGATCTTGGCTCACCACAGCCTCTGCCTCCCAGGTTCCAGCGATTCTCATGCCTTGGCTTTCTGAGTAGCTGGGATTACAGGCATGCACCACCGCACCTGCATAATTTTTGTATTTTTAGTAGAGATGTCGTCCATGAAAAAAAAAAATACATCGCTAAATTTAGTTTCCTCCTTTTGGGGGAAAAGGGAGGACACTATTAGAATGTCATTCTGTGTATGAGATGCTGGCAGTACACAGTTGTCTTTGCTTTTCATTTTCTTACTTGACAGAATAAAATGGTGACAGAAAAACGTTTTTTTTTTTTTTTGAGCTGGAATTTCAGTCACATCACCCAGGCTGGAGTGCAACGGCATGATCTTGGCTCACTGCAACCTCCACCTCCCAGATTCAAGCGATTCTCCTATCTCAGCCTCTTGAGTAACTTGGATTACAGCCACCTGTGACCACACCCAGCTAATTTTTGTATTTTTAGTAGAGACAGGGCTTCACCAAGTTGGCCAGGCTGGTCGAACTCCTGAGCTCAGGTGATCCGCCTGCCTCAGCCTCCCAGTGTTGGCATTACAGGCGTGAGCCACTGCTCTCTGCCTCCATTAACATTTTTTATGTTATCAGATAAGATATTAAGTCTACAAAAAGTGTGAGGCTCGGCACTGGGCCTGGAGATGTGAAGGATCTTTGGATGCTGATGACAGACTCAGATCATGTTTCTTAAAGGAAATAAAGCACATTCTCCTTTCCCTCTAAAGGTGTTACAGGTAGATGGGACCTAAGTTAAGGTGGAGAAAAAAGGGTAAAATAAAGATAATCTGAGGAAGAGAGGAGGGACACTCCAGAAAGCAGGACTGGGTTGTGTGAGCAGAGGCAGGGAGGTGAACAGGAGCAGCAGCTGCCTCAGGTGCCCACAGAGTCCAGGAGATGCTTTCCTCTGCAGGCCACTCACTGTCAGGAGGCCTAGATTGATCTCCTTTCCTCAACTGTCTGGACCTGGCCCTCCAGTGTGGTAGATACTAGCCACATGTGGCTGTTGAGCACCTAAAATGTAACTAGTGTGACTGGGGAACTGAATTTTTTTGTTTTATTTAAATTAAATTTTAAAACCACAACAGTCCAGAACACGCAAAGCAGGCACAAATGCCAAAAACATCTACACAGGCGTATCATATGTAAGCCTCCAGAAATCAAAGACAAAATCTTGAACGAAGCCAGAGGAAAAAAGAGACCTTACATATAGAAGAGCAGTGATAAGAATTACATCACGCCTCTCTTCAGAAACCATGGAAGCCAGGAGAGAGGAAACTATTTTAAAAGCACTGAAAAAAAAAAAGAAAGAAACAGCCTAGAATTCTATAACCAGAGAAATTATCCTTCAAAAGTGGAAGGGAAGTAAAGACTCTCAGACAAAAATGGAGGGAATTTGTTGCCAGTAGACCTGCTTTCCAAGAAACATTGAAGAAATTCTTTAGAGAGAAGGCAAATAGGCCAGGCATGGTGACTCACACCTGTGATCCTAGCACTTTGGGAAGCCGTGGCAGGTGGATTGCCTGAGTTCAAGACTTTAACACCAGCCTAGCCAACATGATGAAGCCTTGTCTCTACTAAAAATACAAAACAATTAGCCGGACGTGGTGGCACACGCCTGTAATCGCAGCTACTCAGGAAGCTGAGGCATGAGAACCACTTGAACCTGGGAGGTAGAGGTTGCAATGAGCGGAGATCGTGCCACTGCACTCCAACCTGAGCAACGGTGAGACTGTCTTAAAAAAAAAGAAGCCAAGGCCGGGTGCGGTGGCTCAAGCCTGTAATCCCAGCACTTTGGGAGGCCGAGGCGGGTGGATCACGAGGTCAAGAGATCGAGACCATCCTGGTCAACATGGTGAAACCCTATCTCTACTAAAGATACAAAAAATTAGCTGGGCATGGTGGCGTGTGCCTGTAATCCCAGCTACTTGGGAGGCTGAGCAGGAGAACTGCCTGAACCCAGAAGACGGAGGTTGCAGTGAGCCGATATTGCACCATTGCACTCCAGCCTGGGTAACAAGAGCGAAACTCCATCTCAAAAAAAAAAAAGAAGCCAAATAATGTAGCTTAGAAATTCAGATCTGCGTAAAGAAAGGAAGAGCATTAGAGAAGGAATAAGTAGAGGTAAAAATGTTTTTAACCTTAATTGATCTGACAGCATTTGGCCACAAATAATAACTTGCATTTGGTAATTACAGCATATGGATAAGTAGTATGATTATTGAACCTTATGGAAATAAATGACAGCAGTGTTGTAGGGGATGGGAGGTAGTAAATGTTAATGCTCTGTTATAAGGTACTTGTCCTATTCATAGGTGGTATAGTATTATTTGAAAGGGAACTTGAGTTAGTTATAAATATATACTGCAAGCTGGGCACCGTGGCTCACACCTATAATCCCAGCACTTTGGGAGGCTGAGGCAGGTGGATTGCCTGAGGTCAGGAGTTCGAGACCAGCCTGGCCAACATGTTGAAACCCCATCTCCACTAAAAATGCAAAACTTAGCTGGGCATGGTGGCAGGTGCCTGTAATCCCAGCTACTCAGGAGGCTTAGGTAGAAGAATTGCTTGAACCCAGAAGACAGAGGTTGCAGTGAGCCAAGATCACACAACTGCACTCCAGCCTGGGTGACAGAGCAAAACTCCATCTCAAAAAAAAAAAAAAAAAAAAAAAAAAAAACAATGTACACTGCAAACTCAAGAGCAATCATTTAAACTATGGAAATAAGTTAAAAAATAAATGAAACTAGGCCAGGTGCGGTGGCTCACACCTGTAATCCCAATGCTTTGGGAAGGCTGAGGTGGGCAGATCACCTGAGGTTAGGCATTCGAGACCAGCTTGGCCAACATGGTGAAACCCTGTCTCTACTAATAGTACCAAAAAATTAGCCAGACATGGTGGCGCGCACCTGTAATCCCAGCTACTCAGGAGGCTGAGGCAAGAGAATCACTTGAACCCGGGAGGCAGATGTTGCAGTGAGCCAAGATCACGCCATTACACTCAAGCTTGGGCAACAAGAGCAAAACTCCGTCCCAAAAACAAACAAAAATAATTTTTAAAATAAAAAGCAAACACATTTGATAGACTAAATGAGGAGAAAAAGATCAAATCATATTGAATGCTTAACTTAAAACCAGAGAAGGCAGGTCGGACATGGTGGCTCACATCTGTAATCCCAGCACTTTGGGAAGCTGAGGCATGTCAATCACCTGAGGTCAGGAGTTCAAGACCAGCCTGGATAACATGGTGAAACGCCATCTCTACTAAAAATACAAAAATTATCTGGGCATGATAGCACATGCCTATAATCCCAGCTGAGACATGAGAATCACTTGAAACTAGGAGGCAGAGGTTGCATTGAGCCAAGATCATGCCATGTGCTCCAGTCTGGGCAACAGAGCAAGACTCTGTCTCAAAAAAAAAAAAAAAAAAAAAAAAAAGAACATGAGCAGCAAATAGAAAACAGTAACATGGGCCAGGCGCAGTGGCTCAAGCCTGCAGTACCAACACTTTGGAAGACTTTAAGGCCAGTGGATCACTTGAGGCCAGGAGTTTGAAACCAGCCTGGCCAATGTGATGAAACCCTGTCTCTACCAAAAATACAAAAATTAGCCAGGCATGGTGGCACATACCTGTAACCCCAGCTATTTGGGAGGCTGAGGCAGGAGGCTCGCTTGAATGCAGGAGGCAGAAGTTGCAGTGAGCTGAATTCACACCATTGCACTCCAGCCTTGCAGTGAGCTGAATTCACACCATTGCACTCCAGCCTTGCAGTGAGCTGAATTCACGCCATTGCACTCCAGCCTAGGCAACAGAGGGAGACTGTGTCTCAAAAAAAATATATATATATAGTAACATGGTAGATATTCAGCTGTATCAATAATCACTTTAAATGTCGGTGATCTCAACACACAAAAAACACACTGTCAGCATGAATGAGCCACACAAGACCCAAACATGTTGTGTACAAGAGAACCACCTTAAATTTAAAGACACATTTAGATTAAAAGTAAAGGGATTGGCCAGTTATGATGGCTCATGCCTATAATCTCAGCACTTTAGGAAGCCAAGGAGGAGGACTGCTTGAGGACAGGGGTTCAAGACCAGCCTGGCAACATAGTGAGAACCTGTCTCTACAAAATTAAGAAAAAAAAAAGTTTTGATTAGCTGGGCCTGGTGGCGTGCACCTGTATTCCCAGCTACTCAGGAGACTGAGGTGGGAGGATCACTTGAGCACAGGAGATTGAGGCTGCTGTGAGCCATGATCATGCCTCTGACCTCCAGCCTGGGCAATAGAGACCCTGTTCCAAAATTAAATAAGTAAATAAATGAAGAAGGATATACCATACTAACACTAATCAAAAGAAACCTAGAGTAGCTATATTTCAGAAAAAAAACAGACTTCACAGCAAATAAAATTAGGAATAAAGAAGGGCATTGCATAAGATAAAGAGGCCTATTCTTTAAGAAGGCATAACAATCCTTAATGTGTGTAACCAGGCAAAAGAGTGGTAAACTACGTCAGGCAAAAACTGATAAAACTACAAGGAGAAATAGCTGAATCCGCTATTATAGTAGGAGACTTCAACACCCCTCTATCAGTAATTGATGCATCTACCAGGAAGAAAATCAGTAAAGACATAGTTGAATCAAATAACATCATCAGTCAACTAGATCTGATTGACATCTATAGAATTCACCTAACAGCAACATACACATTCTTCTCCAGCTCACACAGAACATTCACCAAGTAGACCACATTCTGAGCCATAAAAAAAACACCTCAACACGTTTTAAAGACTAGAAAACTTGCAATGTCTGCTTTCAGACAACAATGGAATTGAACTAAAAATTAATAACATATTAGCCATGCACAGTGGTGTGTGCCTAGAATCCCAGCTACTCGGAAGAGTGAGGCAGGAGAATCACTTATGCCCAGCCTGGGCAACTTAGCAAGACCCTGTCTCAAAAAAAAAAAAAAAAAATGACAGCTGGAAAATTCCAACATACTTGGAGATTAAACAACACACTTATAAATAATGCTTGGGTGAAAGAATAAGTCTCGAGAGAAATTTCGAAATATTGAACTAAATGAAAGTGAAACCACAACTTAAAATGTGTAGGATTCAGCAAAAGCAGTGCTTGGAGGGAAATGTGTAGCAGTAAATGCATTATTTAAAAAGGAGGTCTGAAATCAAGATTCCACCTTCAGAGGCTAGAAAAAAGACCAAAATAAGTAGAAAAAGAATAATGAAAATTGAAGTAGAAATAAAAGAAATTGAGTAGAGGAAATCAGTACAGAAAATCAGTGAACCCAAAAGCTAGTTCTTTGAAATAAAATTGACAGACCTATAGTAAGGTTAAGGAAGAAAGAGAAGACTAATTACCAGTATCAAAAGTAAAAGAGGAACCATCACTACTGGTCCATGGACCTTTATTATCCATTATCCATGCGTAATAAAGGGGGATATAATTAAAACTCTGTGCCCACAAATATGACCACCTAGAGGAAATGGATGGATTCCTTAAAAGATACAATCTGCCAAAACACACAAGAAGAAAAGGATCATCTGAATAGGTCTGTATCTATTAAAGACATTCCATAAATAATGACTGAAAACAAAAGTACAGGCACAGACAGGTTCTCTAATAGATGCCAGTAAACATTTGGGGAAGAAATTATACCAGTTATCTTCAGTCTCCTCCAGAAAATAGAGGCAAAGGGGGTACTTCCTGACTTACTCTGTGAGGCCAACATTATCCTAATACCAAAACCAAATCTGACAATGTATCGGAAGAATTATATACCACCACCAAATAGGATTTACTCCAGGTATGCAAGACTGGTTCAATATTAGAAAAGCAATTAATGTAGCCCATCACATCAAATCTAAAAAAGTTATACAATCATATCAATAAATATAGAAAAGGCATTTGACAAAATTCAGTACCCATTCATGATAAATACTCAGCAAACTAGAATACAGGAGAACTTCCTCAACTTAATAAAGAACATCTACTAAAATCTTAGATCAGCTAACGTCATACTTAGTGGTGAGAAACTAGGTGGTTTCTCCTGAAAAATGATATTATATCTCCTGATCTTAGGAACAGGCAAGGATATCACTTCTCACCATTTCCATCTAATGTCACAGCAGAAGTCCTAGCGAATGTACTAAGACTAGAAAAGGAAACAAAGGTGCCAGGCATAGTGGCTCACACCTGTAATGCCAGCACTTTGGGAGGCTGAGGCAGGCGGATCACGAGGTCAAGAGGTCAAAACCATTCTGGCCAACGTGGTGAAACCCTGTCTCTACTAAAAATACAAAACTTAGCTGGGCCTGGTGGTGGATGCCTGTAGTCCCAGCTATTTGGGAGGCTGAGGCAGGAGAATCACTTGAACCCGGGAGGTGGCGGTTGCAGTGAGCCGCCACTACACTCCAGCTTGGTGATAGAGCAAGACTCCATCTCAAAAAAAAAAAAAAAAAGGAAACAAAGATATATAGATTAGGAAGGAATTAAACTGTCTTTGTTTACAGATGATTGTCTGTGGAAAATCCCAAAGAAACAACAACAACCAAAAAGCATCCTGGAACTAATGACCAATTACAGCATAAATTGCTTTCCTATATATCAGAAATGAACAGTCTGGCCAGGCACAGTGGCTCACATCTGTAATCCCAGCACTTTGGGAGGCCAAGGGTGAGGCAGGTAGATCACTTGAGGTCGGGAGTTCGAGACCAGCCTGGCCAACATGGAGAAAACCCATCTCTACTAAAAATACAAAAATTAGCCAGGTGCGGTGCCACGTGCCTGTAGTCTCAGCTACTCAGGAGGCTGAGTCAGGAGAATCACTTGAACCCAGGAGGCAGAGATTGCAGTGAGCCGAGATCACGCCATTGCACTCCAGCCTAGGTGACAATGAGACTGCATCTCAAAAAAAAAAAAAAAAACAAAAAAAAAAGAACAAGCCAGGTACAGGTACAGTGGCTCACACCTGTAATACCAACATTTTGGGAGGTCATGGTAGGTGGATCACTTGAGGCTAAGAGTTTAAGACCAGCCTGGCCAACATGGGAAAACCCCATATCTACTAAAAATACAACAATTAGCCAGGCATGGTGAGGCATGCCTGTAATCCCCAGCTACTTGGGAGGTTGAGGCACAAGAATCACTTGAACCCAGAAGGTGGAGGTTGCAGTGAGCAAAGGTCACCCCACTGCACACTGCATTCCAGCCTAGACAACAGAGCAAGACCTTGTCTCCAAAAAAAGAAAGAAACACTTAGAATTTGAAATTTAAAATAATACCACTTACATTAGCAATGAAAAAAGAAATACTTAAGTATAAATCTTGACAAAGTACGTGTAATATCTGATATGGTTTCGTTGTGCCCCTCCCAAATCTCATCTTGAATTGTAGTTCCCTAGTCTCCACACGTCATGGGAGGGACCAGATGGAGATAATTGAATCATGGGGGCGATTTCCCCTATCCTCTTGTGATAGTGAGTTAGTTTTCACAAGATCTAATGGTTTTATAAGGGGTTTACCCCTTTACTGGGCACTCATTCTCTCTCCTGCCGCCCTATAAAGAGGTGCCTTCCACCATGATTGTAAGTTTCCTGAGGCCTCCTCAAGCCATGTGGGACTGTGAGTCAATTAAACCTCTTTATAAATGATCCAGTCTCGGCTATGTCTTTATTAGCAGCTTGAGAAAGGACTAATGCAATACCTATGTGAGGAGAACTACAAACCTTGAAATAAAGAATGAAATGAGAGATAATGTGTGTTCATCGAAGGAAGATGAATGTTGTTAAGATATCAGTTCTTTATAACTTGATCTTCAGATTCTAAGTAGTCCCAGTCAGAATCCTAGAAAGTTATTTTCTGAATATCAGCAAACATTCAAAAGTTTATATGGAAAGCCAAAAGACTCATAATAGCCAAAACAACACTGAAGAACAACAAAGTTGGAGGACTAACACTACCGGACTTCAAGACTTGCTGTAAAGCTAGTCATCAAGATAGTATTGGTGAAAGAATAGATAGATAAATGGAACAGACTAGAGAGCCCAGAAATAGACTCATACAAATAAAGCCAACTGATTTTTTACAAAGGAGCAAAGACAATTCAATGGAAAAGTGATAGTCTTTTCCACAAATGGCACTAGAACTGGACATCCATATGCAAAAAAATACATCTAGACCCAGTGTACAAAAATTAACTCAAAATGGATCATAAACCCAAATGTAAAACTCCAAGGTGATAACAGCAGAAAATCTAGATGACCTTGGATTTAGTGATGACTTTTTAGATACAACACCAGAAGCATGATCCATAAAAGAAAAAAAAATTAACACTTTATTAAAATTTAAAACTTCCTGCTCTGTGAAAGTTACTGTTAAGACAAAGAAAATAAAAGCCACAGACTGGGAGAAAAAACTCTGCAGAACACATATTTGATAAAGGACAGGTATCTAAAACACACAAAGAACTCTTAAAACTTAATAGGAAAGCAAATAGACAAATTAGAAATGGGCAAAATATTTTAGCAGACACTTCGGGAAAGATAAACAGATGGCAGATAAACATATGAAGAGATGCTCAGCATTACATGTCATTAGAGAACTTCAAATTAAATCAACTATTAATAATGGCTGAAATTTGACAATAACAAATGCTAGCAAGCATGTGGAGCAGCAGGAACTCATAGATCACTGATGGTGAGGCAACATGCACTGCAACCACTTTGGAAGACAGTTTGGCAGTCTCTTACAAAACTAACCATACTCTTACCATGCAATCCAGTGATCCTCCTTGTCATATACCCAAAGCAGTTGAAAACATGTTCATACAAAAACCTGCACACAAATGTTTATTGCAGCTTTCTTTATAACTGCCAAAACTTGGAAGTAACCAAAATGTCCTTCAGGAGGTGAATGGATAAAACTGGCACATCCATGCAATGGAATGTTATTCACTAATAAAGAGAAGTGAGCAGGATTGCCTTTCTCGAGCCATGAAAAGACATAAAGGAACCTTAAAAGCATATTGCTAAGGGAAAGAAGCCAATCTGAAAAGGCTAAATACTCTATGATTCCAACTATATGACTTCTGGCAAAGCAAAACTCTGGAAACAGCAAAATGATTAGAGATTACTGGGAGGTCAGGGTATTGAGGGAGGGAAAAATGAATAGGTAGAGACCTGAGATTTTTTGGGCAGTGATACTGTTCCATAGGAAACAGTAATAATGAACGCATGTCATATATTTGCCAAAACTCACATTAGGTACAATATAAAGAGTGAGTCTTAATGTAAACTATGGATGTTAGTTAATAATAATGTACTGGGCCAGGTGCAGTGGCTCACACCTGTTATCCTAACATTTGGGAGGCCAAGGTGTGCAGATCACCTGAGGTCGGGAGGTCGGGAGTTCGAGTCCAGCCTGACCAACACGGAGAAATCCCATCTCTACTAAAAATACAAAATTAGCCAAGCATGGTGGTGCATGCCTGTAGTCCCAGCTACTCGGGTGGCTGAGGCAAGAGAATAGCTTGAACCTGGGAGGCAGAGGTTGCAGTGAGCCGAGATCCTGCCATTGCATTCCAGCCGGGGCAAAAAGAGCGAAACTCCATCTCAAAATAATACTACTACTAATAATAATACATCAATATTGATTCCCCAGTTATGACAAGTGTACCACACTAATACAAGATGTTTATAATACGAGGAACTTGTAGGAAGAAGGTATGTAAGAATTCTCCATTCTTTTCAATCAATATTTTTGTAAACCTAAAATTGCTCAATAAAAAAATAAAGTTTATTAAAAAACAGCAGTGTAAATCTTTCATGTTGACTGACAATATTTTGGATATATACTGTGTTAAAGTGTATCACTAAAACTAAATCACCTATTTCTTTTTTTTTTTTTAAACTCCTAGAAAATTTTCTATTACATCTGTGACTGACATTTCTAATTTTGTTGACCGTTGCTGGTCTAGAACCAGGTTCTTGTGCCTCTAGTGTACCAGCCCAATTCTCTACCTGTCTCTGCTTCTAGGTCCTACAGTTTCAGGATCTTTTATCAAGCATCTCTTCTTTTTAATCACTTTGCTGTTAACAGCATTTCAGAATCTTTATTTGTTTTGGAAAGTCTACATCACACTTTGGCTTCAGTGTCCCTTCTCCATATTGTACTCTATATTCCGGCTTCCAGCATCCCTCTCTCTCTATGGTGCTCTGGCTTGTGTAACTTCCTCTTGTTAACAACCAGTCTGATTAAGTCACCTCCTGGCTGGTCTCAGGAGTGTTCCCGCATTTCTGTTCAGATTGTGCTCTCAATATACTTCAAGAAGCACTTTCTTTTCCAAGAAGGCCTCTGTCTTCAGTTCCACCTCACATTAAAGACTCCAGCCCTTTGTTTTCTCTCAACATGTAAGCAATGCATTTTTACCCTCGTATTACACTTGTGATATATTTGCGTATGTTTCTTTCCCCCCAGTTGGATTGTAAGTTCACCAAAGGTAGACTGTGGCCACTCCTTTGATATTCCAAGGTTGTGTGGGATGGCATATGCGTGAGATCACAAGCTTTGTTTTTAGACATCAGTTTTTAAGTTCCAGTCTCCCACTTAGCATCTTTGTGGCCTTAAACATGTCACTTAAGTCTCTTAAAGTTTCCCCATCTGTAAAAAGGGGATGATAATCCTATCACCTCATAGGATTGTTGGAGGGGTCAGTGTTTGGTGTTTAGATGCCATCAGAGGCACTTGAACTCCTGCAAAATGGAGACAGCAGGCAGTTTCCAATGCCAAAAGTTGCTCTGGCATTTTACTGTGAAGTTCATATCAAGTTCACTTTATGTGAGAAATAGTTAACAACACTTTCCGTTCAGTCACCACCAACTTGTTCATGAGCTAGGACTTCCCATAACTATTTAAACACATTTCATGATTTTTTATGAAGAATTAAAATTTAGGTGTATGAAGAGCAGAGTCATATTCTTTTTGTATTTATCACAGAAAGACACAACTCAGGCAGTCTTTCACCTACAAAGCAAAGCTTAGTCTTGCTCATAGTTTGTTTCAACCTGATTTACTATCAGAAAAGTTGTGTTTATTTCACTGGCTTAAAAATATTCTTTATCTGGTCTAGTTTCTCTTTTCAGAAAAGAGAAATAATTTACAACATAGTACTCAAAAAGTACTTTTAGATGCATGTGATTTTCTTTATATAAGATTTTATTTTAAGCTGATTACTTAAAGGGAGACTTACACTCAGGACTGCATACTTTTCTTTATCAAAAAAAGAGGCTTCTCATACTCTTTTCACATGAGGGCAAATAAGATGCTGCCTTTTAGCACTTTACACAATGCTTCTCAGTCAGTGAATGAAAGGGGCTTGTGGTGTAAGTCCCATCAGGTCATAGATGTATAAGAATTTTGGCTGAATTAATAGCACATCAGTTTGAAATCTGAGTGACACTGATTTTATCAATTTTAAAATGGTTTGGAGAGCAAGTCAATATAAAATGTAGAATGAAATGTAATTTAGTGCTTTTGAACCATCACATGACCTGATGTTTGAAGTTCTTTTTTAAAGCATAAAATGCATGTATTTACTTTTTTTTTTTTGAGACAGAGTCTCACTTTGTTGCCCAGGCTGGAATGCAGTGGCACGATCTCAGCCCACTGCAACCTCCACCACCTGGGTTCAAGCAATTCTCCTGCCAAAGCTTCCTGAGTAGCAGCTGAGACTGGTGCACGCCACCATGCCCAGCTCATTGTTTTGTATTTTTAGTAGACACAAGGTTTCACTATGTTGGTCACTCTGGTCTCAAACTCCTGACCTCGGGTGATCCACCTGCCTTGATGTCCCAAAGTGCTAGGATTATAGGCATGAGCCACCATGCCCAGAATGTATTTACTTTTATAACTATTTATGAATATGATTTTGGGGGCTATAGTTTTTTGGGTTTCTTGTTATGTTTTTTGTTTTTGTTTTGTTTGAGACAGGGTCTCACTGTCTTGCCCAGGCTGGAGTGTAGTGGCACAATCACAGCTCACTGCAGCCTTGACCTCCCAGGCTCAAGCAATCCTCCCATTTCAGCCTCCCAAGTAGCTGGGACCCCAAGCATGCCAACAAGCCTGGCCAATTTTTAATTTTTCTTTTTTCTTGCGACAGAGTTTCACCCTTGTTGCCCAGGCTGGAGTACAATAGAGCAATCTCGGCTCACCGCAACCTCTGCCTCCTGGGTTCAAGCGATTCTCCTGCCTCAGCCTCCTGAGTAACTGAGATTACAGGCATGTGCCACCACACCCAGCTAATTTTGTTTTTTTAGTAGAGACCAGATTTCTCCGTGTTGGTCAGGCTGGTCTTGAACTCCTGACCTCAGGTGATCTGCCCACCTTGGTCTCCCAAAGTGCTGGGATTAGAGGCACGAGCTATTGCAGCCAGCCTAAATATTTTTTTGTAGAGATGGAAGTCTCACTATGTTGCCCAGAATGGTCTTGAACCCCCAGGCTCAAGTGACCCTCCCGCTTGACCTCCCAAAGTGCTGGGATTATAGGCATAAACCACCACATCCGGCTGGGCTACAGTCTCAATCACTTCTTTGTAAATGACACATTTAGTTCCTAAGTAAAAATCCAGGTTGTAATTAATTACTGTATTTTCTCCTTTTCACATTTGTTTTAAAGAACTAGCTGTGTCTCAATGGGCTACATGATGACTTTGGATGAATGCAGTTTGCATACATGGTAGAGGGTATCTTGAAGTGAATATGCAGAATCATTTTCATTAATTTGTATTTCAACACTGCTACCTTTTTTCCTTCCTTTTTTTTTTTTCTTTTTTTGAGACAGAGTCTCACTCTGTCACCCAGGCTGGAGTGCAGTGGTATGATCTCGGCTCACTTTAACCTCTGCCTCCCCAAGTTCAAGTGATTCTCCTGCCTCAGCTTCCCAAGTAGCTGGGACTACAGGCATGCACCACCACACCCCGATAATTTTTGTATTTTTTTAGTAGAGATGGGCTTTCACCATATTGACCAGGCTGGTCTCAAACTCCTGACCTTGTGATCTGCCTACCTCAGTCCCCCAAAGTGCTGGGATTACAGGCGTGAGCCACTGCGCCTGGCCTGCTTCCTATCTTTAATGACCAGTTATGAACATAAATAATATGTAACTAAAAATATATTTAAGTGTGTTAAAGCTGAAACTTCCACAGCATTAGTATTGAACTGCGTGACACCCCAGCTAAGTGATGATGAGCCACATGACTGAGCCAATTGCCTACTCACTCAGCCTCCTCCAACTAATGTGAGTATGCATACAAGATCCTCTCCATGTGTTTACACTGATTCCATTTCCATGGAGAGTACACAGTAATACACATGCCAAAGAAAAATCAGATGCCTTCATTGCCTTTTACATTGCTTTCTCTGCACTGAGGTGGGATGCCTGTGTCTGCTGAAACACAGCCCCTTTCAGCTTCTCTATGACCATGTAGCCTAGCTTACACTAAGCAAAGCCCATTCCCTGTCAACCATGCTATGTCTTCACATACTACCTCACAGTAATCTCAATCTAGGATGATGACACACAGAAAAGCTTGTGACTGCTTCTGGTTGCCTTAGAAATCAGCCCAAGGCCTCCTGAAGGATCAAGAGTAGGTAGCTGAAAGTCTGAAAGAGGGTCAGAAACGTTAATGGCTGGAAAACAGTGCTTTGCAGAATAGAGAATGAGTGATTGGAACACGGAGGGCAGACACTGAGAGCTGGAGAGCAAGGAGCAAACATGTTGTACATAAAGCTGGCAATTGACATGGCAATGGAGGAAGGAAAAGGTGTCAAAGAACAGCGTGAGGCAGTGACCCAGGGTGCCATGAGGAGGAAGTCGGACAGGGACTAGCAAAGGATCAACAAACAGGATCTGAGTCTTTGGTGACAGACTCAGAATGGTTGAGTCTGAGTGCACAGGAACAGTGGGTATCATTTTCCTGCTATTTTGGGTACAGGCAAGATAATGTTCAGCTACCTGGGAATGAGTATAGCCCAAGGGTGGAAGTGATGAGCTCTGGAGTCATGTAGGCACGAATCTTGACTCCAAAACTACTCCTGAGGCCTTTGACACTACATGAAACCTCATAGCCTTGGTCCCTTTGCTAAGATATTAAAGGGGATAATAAAGACCTATCTCACAAGACTGTTTGGAAGACTAAGTAAAATAATCCATTTAAGTTCATAGTGTAATGCCTAGTGTATAGTAAACTCTAAATGTTGCTAGGGAAACAAATAAGAACCTCTTAGAAATGATTATGAAACAGTATTATGAGTATTTTTAAGAAATTAGCTTTATTAATATTTACCAAATAGCCTTTTGTTTCTTCCAGTTCTATCTTATAAAATCTTTCTCTTATTTTGCTGAGAAGCCAAAGAAAACATATACAACCCATGTTGTTAAACATAGAAACTATTTGCTAACTAATCAGTTTAAAAAGAGGTCTCCAGGATGCTTAAATGTGACTGTGCTGTATCCTAAGCAACACATTTCTTTTTTTTTTTTTTGAGACAGAGTCATGCTCTGTCACACAGACTGGAGTGCAGTGGCACAATCTTGGCTCACTGCAACCTCCAACTCCCTGGTTCAAGTGATTCTCCTGCCACAGCCTCCCAAGTAGCTGGGATTACAGGCTCCTGCCATCACGCTCAGCTAATTTTTGTATTTTTGGTAGAGATGGGGTTTCACCATGTTGGCCAGGATGGTCTCAATCTCCTGACCTTGTGATCTGCCCACCTCGGCCTCCCAAAGTGCTGGGATTGCAGACATGAGCCA